ACAACTGTATATCACTATACTGCTTGCCAAGGACTTTTAGAGACATTATCTCTTTTCATGACATATGAGTGCATAGTGAGTCTAATCCTCAAAGAGTTAATCTACCTCAAAAATATGAACACTCTTAAGAGATACTGTACCTGTCTAGCCTGCTACAAGAAGTTGAGGGAAAAGAACATGTAGTGAAATCTGTATTAATCTTCAGCTGCATAAATCATACGGAGAAAAAACGCTTGCTAATGCACAATGATGAGAGCATATTATGTGAACTTCAGCAAGGCAAAGCCTGTGTCTCCATCTCTAGCACCTGCTTGCCTAAAACGTAGATGTCTTAGTCACTTTTCTCATTGCTGAGACAAAATACCTGATACCTGAAGTTAAAGGAGAAAAGGTTTGTTTGGCTCACAGTTTGTGGAGGTTTCAGTTCATAGTTGGCTGGCTCCAAGGCAGGGTGGCATGGCAGAGGGGCATCACAGAGGAGAAACAGATCATGGCAGGCAGAAGGCAACAAGCAGCAAGCTACAAGCAACAAGGATCAGCCCTCTTTCTGTCTTTATAGCTTATCCAGGGCAGGTAGCACTCACAACCTTAATCCTAGCATTGCACTGTGAATCAGTCCCAGCGTCACATCCTTGATTTTGGCAGCTCACACATTAGATCCAGCCACTTCTGAAAAGCCCTATCTGTGACCGCTTGGGGTTTTAGGGGGGACATCTAGATACAAGCAATAACAATAGGGAACTCTCTTAAAATGTTGACATTTTACAAAACATCTCTTTGTAGCAACCCCAAATCACTTGATTAAAGTTAAAATTATTTTCCCATGGGGCCAGGAATTTAACTCAGTGGTTCCGCCACCTGCCTTGCAAGAGCAAGGTTCTGAGTTCCATCCCCGGTACCAAAAAACCCCCCCAAAACAACAAAAAAAGTATTTTCCCACCTTCCTAATTTATATTTATACATAAAGTAAAATTCACAAATTCGAAAAAAATTAATGCCAATATATACAAAACAGTTAAGAATTTACTGCCAGACTTATTCTTCCCTGTTCTTTAAAAAACAAAGCAAAGAAAAGCTCTTAATTGAAAGGAATGTTTACCAGAATTGTCTCTTTCAATACTTGCCAAGAGAACTATAGCTGTTTCATTAGAAAAATGTTTTCATTGGATCCAAGAAAAGAAGTATAAGAGAGACTTTTAAATTCCATTTTTTCTTCAGATTTCACTACTATATCAAACTATAATACAAGCACAATAGGAACAAATGTTCATTTTAAAAATATCTGAATTCAGCCAGGCATAGTGGTGCACATCTGTAATCACAGTACTTGAGAGGCTGAAGCAGGAGGATAGTTGCGGGTTGGAAGATGGCCTGGGCTACACAGAGTTCAAGGCTAGCCTGAACTACATAGCAAGTCCTTATTTCAAAAAAGCAAAAAAAAAAAAAAAAATCTGAATTCAAAATAAAGTAACTAGCTCTGGCTGCTTTTAAGGGGACCCTTTAAAGACAAAATGCTACATGGGTAAAAACAAAATTTCTTATTTACATATTCAGTTGAAGTCCAATTGAAAGGAATCATTACCTGAGAATTAAAAATTTGCACACTTCAAAGGAATTTTAATATAAAGGTACCAATAAATAATTTTACTAACAAAAATAGCTAAACTTTTTTGAGCACTCATTATGTGTCCTGCACCAAACTCCGAATTCTATATGCCTTAATTGTATCTAATCTTCATCACAGCTCTTTGAGGTACATATTTAAGAGTATCTTCATTTTAAGGTAAGAAAACTGAGGCCAAAGGAGGGAAAGCAACTTGCCCAAGACTATGGTTAGATACAGCTATGGTTGTATGAAGTTTTATGCTATATAACCTGGAAAAAACTGGAGGAAAAGAAAAGAATATATTCTATTAGTTTCTCGTACTGTGTGACCTAGAATCTTACAGTTGAAATGGACTTTCAGAAGTCATTCTCACCCACTTTCTTTCTTCCATATAAATCCTTTCCCATCAAAACTCAAGCAGCAGGTATTACCTACATGTGGGGTGGCTTTCTGGGTACCTTTGCTTTTTTTTTTTTTGGTGGAAAAACAAGTCTCTGGTTTGTTTTGCTTTCTGTAAAAAGGTGTAGTCATGGAAACTTTTTAGCAGAGTATCAAGGGGTAAAGAAAAGCTTCAGCACAGTACTATGTAACAAAAAGGGACACAATCAACCATTTTTAAAAACACATACTAGAGCATAACCGTCCAAATAAAGATTGTGCTTTTATTATGGTTCAGATCTTAAATGTCCCCAAAAGGCTTGTGTGTTAAAGGTTTGGTCCCGGCTAGTGGCTCTAATGGGTGGGGGTGGACACTGAGGGAGACCTAGTTGGAGTAAGTAGATCACTGGGGGATGTGCCCATAAAATGTATATTGGGACCCTGGACCCCCATCCCCACTCCAGCTGCCAAGAGCTGAACAGCTTTTCTCCATCACATGCTCCTTATTATGAGGCTCTGTCTCATTGCAGGCCCAAAGCAACAGGCCCAAGTGACCAAGGATTGAAACCTCTGAAACCATGGGCGAAAATAAAGCTTTCTTCCCTCTAAATTGATTATTTCAGGTATTTTGTCACAGTGACAGAAATATGACTGTGCTCTGGAGTCATTATTTTCCAATCCTTAATATATACACCATATCTTTACTGGATACCTGTTTTACAACTACCAATTCTTCAAGAGAATGTTCATTATTTTAATGAACATACTCGATCTTACCACCTCAGTTCTCCACCTCAGAAGCCCAGTTTGGCCCCCACTAAGCATTTGGTGCTTTCCCAACTGAGGAAGTTTTGCCATCACTGAGGCAATTCAGTAAACGTGTTGCAAACTGTAAAAGTAACTCTGAAGCAGGAGATCCAAAATTATTCTCAGTCATGACAGCTTCACTAGAATTAGTATACAGCGTGCCAAGAGGAGGCTTCTGAATGGGAGAAAAACTCATCAGAATGTATAAATACAGGCATATTTATTTTAACATTTGGATAAAGAATTGGAATCCTCGGATAGCTTTATGTCCAAGTGAATAAATAATGATGCTGTAATAATGATGATGCAGATTTTTGGTGCAAGGTTCTTACCATTCAATAAGCTATATACACCCCTTTAATGGAACAAAGCCTATCCCTGAAATGATACTTGCAAAATGAATACCTCACTGTCCATTTAACTTGTGCAATTATTAGAGATGTTCTTTTCATGAAAAAACAAACAAACAACAACAACAAAATAGAGGCAATAAATGCTAGTTGCCAGAACTGTCCTTGGTTCTCCCAGGAGGCTCCCTTCAGTAGGACAGAAAGTTGGACCTATCTGCACAACCCAGAAAGGATAGGTAGAAAGGGTAGGTCTTCTCCCTCTCTCTAACTCAGATATCTTCCACTAGAGAAACTCACTTCATAGAATTCCCAGACCCTGGGTCTTCCTGAATAAGTTGCATAAGAAACTAAGCATGCATACTTAACAATATAGGGTAAGTTAATATACTATAGTCAATATTACTTAACTAACTGAAGGTAGTTGTACACCAAAGGCAAACAACAGAAAAATAAACAGACCATGCCCTGGTCGTTTGTTTTTAGATACACATTTAGATCTGCTGAAGTGCTAAGGCTGGTCAGTCTGGCTCCTTTTGGTTGACTTGGTCAAGGGTACAAGGTCCGGGGTGGGTACAGGTGTGGACCATCTTAATAGGCAGTCAAGGGCAGTGTGCCATTTATGCTGGAAACTTCCTACTACCTGTAGTGAAGGAAGCCTTCACTGACATAGACAACCCCAAACTGTCCCATATACCTCCTGTTTACTTGATTCTGGAAGGCAGTGCACTTGTGGGCATGTATGGGTGTGTTGCTGACTTTCCTTCAGTTTTTACTCACAAACGGCCTCTCAGAGTACAGGAGCAAGTTCTACATGTGGTTCTAAAAATTACAAACATCTTTATTATATGAATTATAATAGGCACAGACAGGTGGATATTACTATTCTTTTAGCCCAGGCTCTTCTCTTGCGCAAAAATCACTTCTAACCCAGTTCAGAAGTATGAATAAGATTTAAGGCAAGACAAAGAGGGCGATCCTTTGGTCCATGCACGGGGGCAGGGTGGGGGCGCCCACAGCTGCGCTGGAAGCTCTGAGATCTAGGCTGCTTCAGGTCCCTGCACGAGTTGGCTTGCTAAATTCCCCATATTCCCGGAGTTCGCCTAGTCCTGGGTTCCTAGTCGCCCTTGTCTGGGGTTGACCATATTTGTTGAGGCGTCCACGACCCCATTCCACCAAGGTGACTGAGTTCCCGTGGCTGAAATGTCAGGGTCTCCACCTCACCTGCCACCTCTGACCTTCGGGAGCGTCCCCCCCCCCCCCCGGCGCCGTGCTCTTAAACCAGTCGCCCCCATTTCTCAGCACCACGACTCTCAGCGCGCCCACCGCGAAGCCCCCTCCATCGTTTCGGGGAGAGGCCACTTGATCTGCCCCGCCCTAGTCTTTCCGGGGCTCCCCTCAACGCCCAGTTCTTCCTCTACTCTGGGGTTCCATTCCCCTCTGCCCTGCGGAGGGCGCCCCAAGAACGAGAACGGGACACCCCTGGATCCGCCCTCCAGGGCTCCCCCTCGCCACGGCCCTGACACCTACATTCACTCCCCAGCTTTTCGGGCTCCAGCACCGAAACTCCCAACATCGCCGTCCTGGCCCCTCAGCATCCCTGCCCCAGCCCTGTAGGGCTCGGGGCTCCCCAACACCACGGTACAGATCAGCCGTCCTGCTTCCAGCCTGGGAGGCTGAAAGTCTCAATATTGGGGTCCTTAACTCGCCTTTCCCCTCTCGGGTTCCCAACATTGCAGCTGTAGAACCTCCCTCCAGGCAGGGGTCCTAGGGTTCTCCAACCTCGCGATCTTGGCGGCCCGGGCGGTCCTGATCCCCAGCTGGACCCGCTCCTAGCTCCCTGCTCCCGCGGCGGGACTCACCGTCAGGGGCGGTGGCCGAGCCCCCAGCACCGCCCAGCCCAGTCCAGCCAGGCCTGCAGTCCCACTCCGACTCCCGGCTGAGAGGTTGCAGACGGCTGCTGTAACCACAGAGGGCTTGGTGCGCTGGAGCAGCCGGGAGGAGGGGACCGCGGGGCTGTTGACGCCCGGCTCTGCCCCTCCCAGGGGGCGGGACGCGCATCCCTGCGCACCCCGGCCGCCGAGGAAGTTAACTGACGCCGCTTCCTCCACCTCCGGTTCTGACCGTTGCAGCCCCTCATTGCTCTGCAAAAAACGGGAGGTCTTTGAAAGGCATGGGTTAACTGCTCTCATAGTCTTTCCCTAGTCGCTGGGAGTGTGTGTGTGTGTGTGTGTCGGGGGGACAACTAACTTCACCTGCCATCTCAAGACCGATTTAAATCCTGGCATTCTTTCTCTCCCCGTTCTCATGCGAACCTTCGGAGCCATGCCTATGAAGGATGTCATGCTGTAGTACACATGAAGGCCTTTGAGGACACACTGTCAAACCCCGGGGATGCGCCTGTGCAAGACTCGTGGCTCTGCCATGACTGCATCGCACAAATGCAAACATACACTGCCTCACTGGGAAACCCAAAGAGCCCAGTTCCACCCGTAGATCCCCCAACCACAGCGGTCCTGCCAACGGGGACTCTGCTTGCTGCTCACCCTCTATGCTCTTTAACCATGGGAAATACATCTGGGAAGTAGGGCCATCCACTAACAAATCGACTTAGCTCTGTGGTCAGAAAAGCATGCTGCACTGCCCAGAGAAGAAAGAAGCCCATCAGGGCTGGGAGAGGCCTGTATGGATGTTACTGTAAGAGATTTATCTGCTTCATTACTATTCCAAGACAGACCTAATTTTGGTCTGTTGATTCCTAGCACTTTTTCTTTACACCACCCTGTTTCAGTGACAGGTCTAACAGCATCTCAGTACAGTGTTTTTACTGTTCTACACATTTGGAAATCCACTGTTGGATGGACTCTTCAGCAAAATATCATGAAGCAAAGAAAGTAGGTTCTCTCATAGGATTATTTCATTTCCTTAAGTGAAGATGTTTGGGTTCTGAGCAGGTTTGAAACAGAGTCACAAGCAGGAAAGGGTCCACGGGCCTGTCTTAGGACCATTGCTCTTCTCACAGGATCCCAGTCCAGCACACAGAGACTGGTGGAAATGAAATGGGAGGTCTTGAGCAGTTTTCTGCCTCCATCTTTGCTTCACTCGAAGATGTCAGGGTACTCTCCTATATTCCCCAAAACGTGGGCCTTTGACATCAGCAGGCATTCATTTTTCAGCCAGGGTTCATAGCTGTACAGCAAAGATGATTAAGAGGTGAAGTGAACAGAATTACAGGTGAGCAAATCCAAAGGCCCACCCACAGGCTCAGTCCAACTGAAGCAAGCTACCTAGTGAGAGCTGATGAGCCTGTGAATGCACTGATGGCTCTTGCAGCTTTTTTCTCCTCAAGAATTCTTCTGCCTTAAGAGTCTTACAAGGTAATCACATGATCTTTCTCAGTAGTGACAAGGGTCCCTTTCTAGCCCTTTATCAAAAGTCAGATGTAACCATGTAGGTAACCAGAAGGGATGGTGAGCATTATTAGCTGTGTGAGAGGGGCTTCTGTGTGAGAGAGCCGCTAGATACTAATGGTGTTTTCCCACCTTTTACGCCTCCCTGCCTACTAAAAGAAAAAAAAAAAAAGAAAAAAAAATGACTTTGTTCCTGTGCAAATTCTTTCCACTTTCTAACACGAGGTAATAATCTGCTTCAGTTTGGGCGGTAAAAGTGATGTTTTAGTAATTCTGGACAGGAAAAGTTCTAGAGTGAACTTTCCATTTTGGAATCACAACAAAAGCCTGTTGGATCCATCACAAAGGACTGGCAGAATGGCCTTTGGTATATGGAAATTCACAGCTACCTTCCCTCGATGTAACATTCCCATCAGGCAAAAAATTTGATCTTATAAAAGCTAGCGACCGGCAAGACCTTGGATCTTGCAGTGTTTCCTCAAGAAGAAGGCTCCACTGCTAATCCAGTCAAAATTCTATCAAACACCATTTCCTTTTCAAATTGTCCTGGATAGCTACACACAGACGAAATGATTTAAAAATAGATATGCAAGATTAAAGAGGTATTTTGTCTCCATCTTTTACAAAGTAAGTAGGTCTATTTTATGTTGTATACATACTAAACTGACACTGTTTTTATAAAACTTCTACTTTGTGTTTACATAGCATTGCTTTTCCAAGAAGCTCAGAGCACATGTATTGGCATCATATTGTGAAGCATGATACATTTATGTGATGTAAGAAAGGTAGGAACTGTTAGCCTTACCATAATGAGAAGAAGTGGAAATGTGACTTAGATAAAATAATTTGCCTGGAACATCATATAGTAGTTTATACTTGTCTATCCTATAAGACCTACACGTGAAAACATGCAATCAATAGAATTATTTAAAAGCTCTAATCATTGTTGTTTTCTCTTTCCATTGAATGGAAGAATTGTGGGTCATTAGTTTCTTCACTGACTTGTCAAAGAAGAAGAACTTAGGAGAGGAATAGTGGTTAAAATTGTCGGCTTGGAAGCTAGTCTGTCCTGTGTCTGAAACCCAGTATCATGTCTTTAAACTTCCAGAAAGTAACCTAACCTTTCTGTGCTTTAGGATCCTTATCTGTAACATGGAAGTAACTACCCACTTTCTCTAGTTATTGCTAGAACTAAATGAAATGACACACCTTACACATTTAGCATTGTACATATCACACATGAAGGGTAGGGTTTGAGAATTATGAGTAAAAGGACAATAGCTTGACTTAAGTAGTTGTTTCTGGATCTTTGTTTCAATACTTTCTACTTGAAAACAAGATATAATTTCTCAGAGGACTGCGTGGGAAGAATTCAGGGAAACTTATATAGCTGTATTTTTTTAACCCTAAAGCCAAATCTGTGTTTTCCCTGACATTCTACCTTCACAGAGCTATCCATCCTGGCCATTCCCTTTAGGCTCCCAACCAGCTGGCCACCTGGGGAAAGCAACCATGCTGCTAACTGCATCTGTTTCACATATAGCATGCTAAAGAATTGAGGTTGAATCAGGTTTTTTTCCGGGTATGTGCCTGTTTCTCTTATTTAATTGTGGAATGGTAGGGATTCACTAAAACTAATTTGATTTTCATCTGGAAGTGCTCACTTCTTTTTTTTTTCTTTTTTAATAACAAACAATCAGTTAATTCTGGAAACAAGTAAATTAACACAAGTAGATAGTAGAAAGAAAATGTAGAAATTGCTCCTGGGCCTTCAGTAAGCCTGAGCACATTTAATGTTGTGAGGCTTTGTATCTGATCCCCCACTGTCTGATGTAAAGAGTTTCAGAAGGCAAATACCTAAGGATAAATGATAAAGTGGCCGACCAGGAACTTTTTATATTTTTTATAAAATAGAATTCCTAAATTGCAACAACATCTGATGTGTGGTGTTAATTTTGTTTTTGTTTTTTTATACAGGGTCTCTGTATACAGTGCAGGCTGGCCTTGAAGTCGTAGCCAGGCTGGCCTCAAACTCATGGCAGTCCTCCTGCCTCAGTCTACCAAGTGCTGGGATTACAGGCTTGCACCACCATACCCAGCTGTGTATATTAATTTAATGCTTTTTCCTAAAGTTATAATTAGGAAATACAGTATATAATTGGATCATAGTAATTTAATGGCAAATGAAAGTATGGAGATGAAAAACATGAGATCTTTTCTTATTCTTCAGCAAAAATTTGAAACTAAAAAGCTTTATAACGAATGGCACTGATTGCGCCCCCCCCCCCTTTAAAAGTTCTGAGAATTTTATTTCTTCTGTTCACTTTGCTCCTGTAGGAGGAGAGAGGAACAAAGGCAATTCCTAAACATCTGGAAAATCAGAAGAATTGGGCCCCAGACTGATGTGAAAAATTTAAAGAAATAAACATTTTTCACTCTGCCCAATTCAGTCTGGACTATGTAATAGGAGAAGATTTTGAAGGGAAATCTCTCAGATTCAGGACTAGAGAAAGAGTCATGTGAACTCATCCAGGACAGAAAACCAAGGCTTGGCCCTGTGGACTTTGTCCCACTGTCAGTTAACCTATGACAGCTATGTGGAAATACTCAGAATCCCCTGAAGGGATGGAGCATTCTCTTCATAGATCTTACAGTTTAAGCCTTTCTCAAGGAGACTTATCTTGGCTCTCAGCTCTTTCAAATAGGATGGGAAGATGAAAATGGCAGTTTTGGACAAGATGAGTAATGATTGCATTATTCATGCTTGATTCTGGCATGGTTTTAGGGTTTTAATGATTTACAAAGGAAAAAATCAATGCATAAATTGACCAATTTAATTCAGCTCATGTTTACCAAGTCTATTTACACTGTAGATGGGTGAGCTAGGGAGCCAAACTGGCTTGTGTATATGGCCATCTCAAAAGCTTCTGAGAATAGATAAAAGTAGGCTGTACCCTTGTCCAGATCTCAGAACAGGGGCACATAAGTTTGGGGTCCTCTCCAGTTCATATTTGTACCACTCAGTGACCTAAATGTTGGGTGATGGTTTGATCAAGGGTGACCTTTGGTTAAAAAAAACACATAGCATTTTGAGTTGACGCCTCCTATACAGGTATATTATCTTGTATTTCTCTTTTTACTTCTTCAGCTCCTCCACTAGACTGTCAGCTCCTATAGAACAAGGTTTGTGTATCTGATATTCACTGTCAAACTCATATGACAGGTTGGTCAGCTTTCCCACTGCTGGACAAGACATCTGACACCTGCAGCTGTAAGGAGGAGAGGTGCCACCATTTCAGAGGATTCCATCTCTGGTTGGCTGGCTCCAAGGCAGGAACATCATGGTAGAGAAGCATGGGAAAGCAAAGTTGCTCACTTTGTGATGACTAGGAACCACAGCAGGGGAACAGCATCAGAGAGGAAGGGGCCAGGGATCAGATACAGTACCCAACATCACTCTTCCATGATTCACCCCACATGCACCCAGAAGTGTCTTTTATTAATCCCCTCTGGGCAGCTTGCAAACCAGCCCAACTGACAATGCAGCTTAACATAGCATATATTATGTAT